TTTTTTCCCTTCTATGTTTTTGTTGTCACAAATTATTCTTTTTTGTGTTGTGAGTTGGTGACTAAACTGAAGGGTTTATAGTTATTCTTGATCCTTTTTTTCCTTTTATCTTTTATGTTATAATAAAGTGTTTCTAACCTTTTCTGATAGAGAGCTGTAATTTTCTGATTTTGTGTCTATTTATCTCCCTGCTCAAAGCTTCGTAAACCTTTGCCTTTTTGTTTCAGGTAGGAGGGCTCCCTTCATCATTTCTTCTAAGGCAGGTCTAGTGGTGATGAACTCCTTCAGCTTTTTTTTTTTTTTTTATCTGAGAAAGCTTTTATTTCCCCATCATATCTGAAGGATAATTTTGCTGGATTGAGTATTTTTGACTGACAGTTTTTGTCTTTCAGTATTCTGAATATATCATCCCATTCTCTCCTGGCCTGTACGGTTTCTGCTAAGAAATCAGCTGAAAGCCTGATAGGAGTTCTTTTGTAGGTTATTTTCTTCTCTCTCGCTGCTCTTAATATTTTTTCTTTGTCATTGACTTTTAACAGTTTAATATTGTATGCCTTGGAGAAGGTCTTTTTGCGTTGATGTAATTAGGAGTTCTATTGGTTTCATGTAGTTGTACGTCCAGTTCCTTCCCCAGGTTTGGGAAGTTCTCAGCTATTATTTCTTTGAATAAGCTCCCTACTCCTTTCTCCCTCCCTTCTCTCTCTGGGATACCTATAATCCTTATGTTACTTTTCCTGAGTTGGATATTTCTCAAAGAATTTCTTAATTTTTTTTAAATCTTAATTCTCTCCTCTACCTGAAGCGTTTCTAGGTTTCGATCTTCGAGGTCACTAATTCTCTCTTCCATAAGGTCTGCTCTATTTTTTATGCTTTCTACATATTTTTTATCTCATTAATTGTGTTCTTCATATCCAGAATTTCTGTTTGGTTTTTTTTTTAGACCTTCAATCTCTTTGGTGAAGCATTCCTTCTGTTCATTAATTTTATTCCTGAGCTCATTGAACTGTCTTTCTGAGTTTTCTTATAACTCATTGAGTTTCTTTATGACAGCTATTTTAAATTCTCTGTCAGTTAAATTGTAATCTTCTGGGCCGGCCCCGTGGCTTAGCGGTTAAGTGCGTGCGCTCCGCTGCCGGCGGCCCGGGGTTCGGATCCCGGGTGCGCACCGAGGCACCACTCCTCCAGCCATGCTGAGGCCGCATCCCACATACAGCAACTAGAAGGATGTGCAGCTATGACAGACAACTATGTACTGGGGCTTTGGGGGAAAAATAAATAAATAAAATCTTAAAAAAAAAAAAATTGTAATCTTCTGTGACTTCAGGTTTGGTTTCTGGAGAGTTGTCATTTTCCTTCTGTTCTACCGTGTTACTGTAGTTCTTCATGGTGTTTAATGAATTGATCCTCTGTCAGCACATTTGTGGTAGTATCACCTTTTCTTATTTGGGTACAGATTTGGTTGCTTTGGTTCTGGTCACCTGGGTCTCGTGTTCCTCCACAAGCTCTCCACAGGCTTGGATGCTGCTGTTACACGAACCACCCATACTGTTGTTCCCAGGTTGTCTTGGGGTGCTGGTTGCACTACTGCCAGGGGTGCTGGGTTCACGGGTATCACTGTCGCAGGTGGGTGTCTGGGGACCCAGGGACTTGTATACAGCCCCCGCTACTGGTGGAGCTGGTGTCGCCACTGGAGGTGTCACCCACTGGAGGCTGGGTCACCAGTTCTGTTGTGGTTCCTGTTGCTTCTGGTTGCAGATTCCACCTGCAGCCGGGGTGGGTGGGGGTGGGCAGGGGCTATTTTTTCTGTTCCCACCCTGTCTGCTCAGAGTTGTGCTGGTTGGGCTGCTCTGCGTTCTCACAGGCCCGGCCACTGCCTCTCGATGGGTCGCGCTCACGCAGGCCTGGCTCCCACCCAGCAGGGCACTTTCACGTGGGCCAGGCTGCTGCCATGCTCAGTGGGAGAGTCTGCTTCTCTGGTGGGGCACTTTTGTGTGGGCAGGGCCACCGCAGCATGGTGGGCGCTCCCATGGGCCAGGCTACCACCACTCTGCAAGCATCTGCGCGCAGGCCAGGGGGCCCCTGCCTCCACTCAGAGTCACATTGGCCACTGTGTGAGGATCCGTGACCTGGATCTCTGCCACCAGGGAGGAGAAGGGTGCTGCCCCCCTAGTTCCACTGTTGCCCGGGGGTCCAGTCCACCCACCTTCAGATGTATAGGTACATGGATCTCTCAGGCATCCCATTGTGCTGTGTAGGGAATCCTCTGTTGGTTAATGGATGTACATTTAGTTGTAACTTAGAGGGGAGAGACAAAGGGAACAACTCACTCCACCATGATGCTGACATCCATCTTCATTCTCTTGACAGTGTCGTTTCATACACAAAAGTTTTCAATTTTGATGAAGTTTATTTTACCTGTTTTTTCTTTTATTGCTCATGCTTTTGGTGTCATAGCTAAGAAATGATTGCCAAATCCAAGGTCATGAAGATGTACCCCTATGTTTTCCTCTAAAAGTTTTATTAGCTCTTGTATTTAGATCTTGGATCAATTTTGAGTTAGTTTTTGTTTATAGTGTGAGGTAGTCCCAATTTCATTCTTTTGCATGTGAATATCCAGTTGTCACATGTTGAGTGTTTTTTTATCATGAAGAGGTGTTGGATTTTGTCAAATACTTTTTCTGTCTCAACTGAAATGTTCATGTGGTTTTCTTTCGTTATTTTAATGTGGTATATTAGTTTCCTAGAGCTGCCATAACAAAGTACCATAGACTGAGTGGCTTAAAACAACAGAAGGTTATTTTCTCACAATTCTGGAGACTAGAAGTCCAAGGTCAAGGTGTCAGTCAGCAGGGTTGGTTCCTTTTGGAGGCTTTCAGGGAGAGTCTGTTTATGCCTTTCTTGTAGCTTCTAGTGGTTGCCAGCAATCCTTGGCATTCTTTGGCTCATAGATGCATAACTCCAATCTCTGTCTCTATCTTCACATGGTGTTTTCCTCTGTGTATTCCTGTGTGTCTCTGTGTCCAAATTTTCCTCTTCTTATAGTGATTCCTCTTCTAGTCATTGGATTAAGGCCCATCCTAACACAGTATGACCTCATCTTAGTTTCATTACATCTATAAAGCCCCTATTTCCAAGTAAGATCACATTCACAGGTACCAAGTGTTAGGACTTGAACATTCATCTTTTGAGGAGACACAGTTCAACCTAGTACATGTGTGTATTACATGGGTTGATTTTGTTATGTTGAACCACCTTGTATTTCTGGAATAAATCCCACTTGGTCATGGCATATAATCCTTTTAATATGCTGCTGGACTCAATTTGCTTTTATTTTGTTGAGGATTTTTGCACCTTCATTCATAAAGGATATTGGTCAGTAGTTTTCTTGTGATGTCTTTTTCTAGCTTTGGTATCAGGATAATGCTGGCCTCATAGAATGAGTTAGAAAGTGTTCCATTCTCTTATTTTTTTTGGAATAATTTGAAAAGGATTGGTGTTAATTCTTTAAAAGTCTGTAGAACTTTCAGTGAAGTCATCTGGTCTTGGGCTTTTCTTTGTTGGGAGGTTTTTGATTACCGATTCAGCTTCCTTAGAGAAATAAAAAAAGATTATAAGAGAATACGATGAATAATTGTATATCAACAAATTAGATAACCTAGATGAAATGGACAAATCCCTAGGAATACACAAACTAGCAAATGACTCAAGAAGAAATAGAAAATCTGATTCATAGACTAGCTTTCATGTTACCTCCACGAAGAGCCCTTCTTGTTCCAAACCCAGAAATCTAATGTTATCTCCACCTCCTTTGAACCTCCACAGCCTTTCATTCCCCTCTCTTAGGTCCTTAACATCCTTTTATAGTTTTCTCCTTCTCTCACTTGCTGGGCTTGGAGGAACCTTGAGGGCTCAACCTTGTAGCCCCCACTGTCCCCATAATCTGTCCTTGTCCATAGTGTGCTCAGTGTAGAGTTATGCACTGTTGGAGGTACAGGATGGGGAGGTGGTGGGCAGAGGGGCTGGTGGTAAACACCCAGCCCTTTTGAGGAGTCAGGAGCCCAGAGAGCTATATAGGAGTCAGGTATTTTTATCTTATTCTGGTCATGTTGTCATATACGTAGCATCTAACAGAATTGTGTCCACTGCAAAATATTATACCAATCAGTATTACAGTTTTGAGTTATTGTGTCCTATTATAGTTATAGGTGATGCTGTCTTTTATAGTATAGCTGAGTTATTAGTCCAGGATTGCAGTTTCAACTAGGATCTTTGTGGAACTTTATACAAATAGAGAGTGCCAGACCTTTACCCCAGATCTGCTGAGTTGGAATCTCTGGGAGGTGGGGCCTGGGCAATTGTAAATTTTAAAGCTCCACATACATAAGAAAACAGTAACATTGGTGACCTCCAGGGAGGGAAGGTGAGAGGGGGCTTTTCACCTTTGTCCTTTTAGAAATTTGAGTCAGATGAATATATTATTGTTCAAAAAAATAAATTATAAAAAAAAATAAGCACAATCAAATACTATGCATTATGTTTACATATATATGTAGGAGGCAGAAAAGGATAAAAACGTGCCTGGGGATGGTAACATGCTGTTCAGGGGAGTGGGGAGAGATAGAGAGTGAGAGTTTGACTTTATTTGTAATGTTTTATTTCTTTAAAAAGAGAGATCTGAAGTAAAATGGCAAAGTCTGTTTAATTTGTGGGTGAGTATATTGGTATCTGTTATGTTATTTTCTGCTTGAAAGATTGTATAGTTAAAAGCACATAGACGTTTGAAACTAAAACAAAGTAAAAGTAAAAAATGTTAACAGATAGCTCTGATGTGCTCCTGGCTAGCTACCAAGAAAATGGATACAGGTGGGGAATTACTGATTTTCCTCAATAGGGAAACTTAATCCCAGGCTTTCACACAAGTAACACATGAAACACAAGTGGGATCCGTGTTGTCCCTGGTGTGTATTCCTTGTGCTAGGTGTTTGTTTCTTATGTTTCAGGTATTTGTGGCCAGTCCTCACAAAACACAGCCTATTGTGGAGATTCTGTTAAAAAATCAACCTAAACTCATTGAGTTTCTGAGCAGCTTCCAAAAAGAAAGGACAGATGACGAGCAGTTCACCGATGAGAAGAACTACTTGATTAAACAGATTCGCGACTTGAAGAAAACAGCCTCTTGAAGATCTTATCCAGTTTCCTGCCACAGTCACCGTCTCATCTGTTCAGTTTGTACAAAAGTGTCATTTCAAAAAGTAATCGTTCTTGGGAAGGCTTTGGAGGTGCCTATTTTTTCTCAATTCATTATTCAAGGTAGATGGAATATAAACATTTGAATGAAAAAATAATTAACCTAGAATAATGTATTCATTTAAATCAAGTCTGTGGTTATTTTTGTGAAATCAGAGCCATTGTACTTGACATGGAGAAAAGCAATTTTAACCCTTTGTTGATGAAAGGCTACAGGGCTGTGGGCTTGCAGACCCGAGCTCTCAGCCACCATGAGCCACCAAGTAGGAGCCCAAATGATGGGCGTCACTGAGTCCTCAAAGAGGATTAAGTTCTCAGAGGAGAACTGGACATGGGGGCGAGAGGTGCAAAACCATCTTGCCTATTTGCGCTTAGATTTCTTAAGGCACTTAAAGATCTGAGAAAATAAGATGCCTGTTTTCAGCCATTACATGTTCTTGTTCCTTGCCCATATCTTTTGACTGTAATTAGTGGTTCTCAGCTTCCTAGGGAATTGCTGCCCACCTCCCACTCAGCCTTCCTTTCTGCTCACTATCCCACATTCCATCCCAATGGATCTCTTCAGCACATCTGACTCATGGCGCACGCACGCGCACACACACGCTTACACACACACCCCACTCCGACCTGCAGTAAGGTTAGCGTGGAACCAACTAAGTACGAATAAGATGGATTAACAAGGGTCATAGGGGCATAGAGGTGTATGACCTACTCACTTGAGAACTTGGAACGGTGGTTAAGAACCACAGCTCCAGCTGTAGTCACTGCTGTTTCACACTGACTTCTGTAGGGTTAGGGAATGTTTGGAATATTTCATTCATAACTGTCATTATGGGAAAGATTTTTTTGTGGCGAAAGTGCGTTTTAGAGTAGGAGTCATTGCATTAGGATGCCTAGCATGTACAGCACCGTGGGTCCAGAGGGTTGCACAGGTCTTTAGACCACTTTTATAAATAAGGGAACATTGCTGTTGGCTGGGCAAACAAAATGCATGAAAAAATTCTCAAACTAAAAATTTTTTTCAGTTTATTTTCTAATTAGCTGTCACTCGAATTTTCCATCAAAGTCTTCAGTGAAAAGGTAGAAAACCTATAAAATTTTGGTCCCAAATATTCTCTTGCATACTAGGATGGTTAAGGAATTGATTTAGGTTCTTTAAAAAAGGCATAGGACAACAACAAAAAAAAGGTCATGATTTGTTTTCAGCCGTCAAGTGTATAAAATGGAATTTTAAAGCTATATTTACAAGGCATTAAAGGTGCAATTATTAATCTGTATTTTTTCATCATTCTGTTTCCAAATCATGAGTTGTTGCCTTCTGTAAGAACCCTCACTTTTTACAATATCGGGTGCTGTGTTCTTCAATCAGACATGTCTCCACTCGGAGAGGGAAGTATCCCTCCCCAGGGATCCTTCCCCAGGATCAGTGCCCTCTGTAAATTTTGCCTCTGAAGAATTACCTGGCAGAGTTTCACCCTTCTTAGCTGGGACACAGGGTTGTGTTTTCTGTGCCCATGTGGAATCCTGAGGCAGATGGTGTGGGACCTGTGGGACCTTCTCATGGCAGCTCTAGCCAATGCTGGCGTGGGAGTGTCAGCCGGCAGCCGATCTAATGACCTTCATTCTTTAGTCACTGAAGTCAGATTATTTCTATAACATTCCCTGACCAGTCCAGAGTCTCTTAGAATTTGACTTTTCTGGTTTTGCTTATTTGATTAAAAGAGAAGAGTGTAAGTATAAAAAGCGCAGGTGCAATAACCATTGGAAATTTGTTTGGTTGCTTAATACTGTTCCACAACATCATGGGACGCATGTTTTCTATTGGAAAGCAAGGCTTTGTTATGATTCTTTCTTAATAAATAAAACATTTTATTTCCTCTGGGCTTGAATTAGCTCTTTCCTAGCAACCCCTTATCCGAGTTTAGTACCTGCAAACGGAATACTAGAGTCTGAGAGGCAATAAATGAAGTAGCTGGGGTTTTGTTGTAATACAAATTTGTAAATTATTAACACGAGAGGGGGAGCAAGAAGCTCACAGTCAAAATATGTTTGCACAAAATTCACTGTAATATTGTGAGAATTAAATTTTGAAAAGGTCATATTTAATAAGCTATTTCAAAAGCACACATTTAAATAAAGACTGACTAAATAAAAAGGTGCCACATACTCTGTGGTCAGTTTCATTCCTCGGCATGTCCCGCATCTGTGTTCTTTTCACCTCTCCAAACAGGAAAAGGCCCAGGTGAAGGGTCAGTGTTGAGCCTCTGGTTCAGGCTTCCCAGAGGCTCCCTACTGACTTTTCCATGCTCTGCTGTCTCATTGTCCAAGTGATGCTAACTGGAAGGCACTGAATATATACATTACCTTATTGATGCCTCACCACAGCCAGAGTCATTCTTGTTTTATGTTTGAGAAAACTGAAGCTCTGGGCGGTTTATCCCAGACAGTGTGGGCTAGAACCAGGATACAAACCCACAGTGGCCTGATGCCAAACTCCTGCTCTTCTACCCTCTTATCATCCTCAAGGCTGTGAGCTGGGGAAGGTCTGGGGTGTCAGAAACTGCTTTGTGCCCTCCCCCCGCTGCGGCCTGGGAGGTTCCCGGGGGTGTTAAGATCCTAGAGTAAAGCCAGCAGGGCTTGAGATCATGATGTTCTTGGACGAGGCTCTCGGCTAAAGCTAGGCATCTGCCCAAGTGTTAGGATTACCCTTGGAGAAAAGCCAAGTGGCACAGGGCCCTTGTTGAACAGTTCTTGACTGCCAGCCTCCATAGGTTCTCATCCATGGGGCCTCTGGGGGAGCAAAATATGCTGGGGAGGGGTGGGCGAACTTTTCAAAGCCTGTCACTGTCCACACTGGTTTGTCTGTATGAGATGCAGCTGCTCATAGTGCGGTCTGGAAATTACACAAGGCCTGAAAGTAACTGAAATAATGTGAAGGAAAATGAAATTGAAAAATCACTAGAAGTTTTTTAATATGAAAAGATAGTTGTTTCAAAATAGATTTACAGATCTTTCTAATCTACTATATTAGCAGAAATTAAGATTTTATATCTTTTTACTTTTTTCTGTTTTAGCCAAAAGACACTTGTACGTATGGCATGAATAATCACCATCTTATCATCCATTTTTCAGGAAGGTTTGGGATATTGTAGTGAGGGCCTATAGTTGGATAAATGTCTGAAATATATAAAGAGACCTTGGAAAGCTAGACATGATCTTCCTAAGAAGATTGAAAAGATTGAAGACGGATATGAACAATGACGTAATTTTGTTTTTGAAATATGGAAAGTGCTGTTATGTAACCACCGTAATGAAAGCAAGTAAATCAAAATGATAAGCCTGGCCGGCACTGGGCCTCACAGACATCTCATTAGTGGTATCAGTCTCCACTTTATGGAGGACGCTGAATCACAGAAAGGGTGAGTAACTTGCTCCAGATCAAATAGCTGGCAGCAGAGCCAGGATTTAAGGCCAGGTCTGACCCAAGAGTCCATATCTTTGGAAACCAGGCTGCATGTCCAGGCCTGCTCCTCAGCTCTCTCCCCAGGGCAGACGCTTCATTCATCATGGCCCCCAAGGAAAGAGGGAATCCTGGATTCCACTGCTTAGGGTTAACGCAACAGAAAGGTTTCAAAGGCTAGATTCATTTAAGGGGGGTAACTTTGCTCCACTTGGTTGTCTGATGTTTGGAAGATCAAATTAGACCTACGTGTAGGATCGGGGATTTGATCTTGAATTTCTCCATCACTTTGAGCAATCCCTTGATTCTACGTGGGTATTAATTTCAGACTGCAATTCTGCACCTGCTTTTGTTTTCTTGGCTTGCTTTTTCAGTTGGACATAATATTAGCTTAGATCTTCTGATAAGAGGGGTTGCTCAGCCAGCCATTCCTCCACTTCACATTCCTCAGCAGCCCAGCGCCACAGGGCTACCACAAGGCAGTTCCTGATGGATCCAATTCCTGTCAAGGTCACCCAGTTCCTCTTCTCCCTCCCAGGGAAGAGGATGTTCAATTACCAACACCCTAAAATAACGTCACAAAGCCACACAAAAAGTCACAATCCCTTTACCATCAATTAATTCAATATCAATTGTAATTTAATCACTGCACTATGAGCCATCTATGTTACTTTAAAAAAGCTATGATCATAGGGGCCCTTTGGGAGAACATATTGTAATACACATTAATTTATCCTTTAGGGAAGGTTGGAAAAAATGAGTTCACCTCATTTTAGTTCTTCTGAAATTTAAAGCCTAAAGCAACCAAAATATTTATTTATTCAACCACTTGATACATTCATCCAACATTGAACTCATTCTCCGTGCCCCTTAGGGGTTGATCTGGGGAACAGAACTACCAAGTGACACACTGGGGTTACCAAAGGGGTTAGACCTTACCTGCTGTGGGAGTTGGGTAAGCGGCCTTTGTAAGTCCGTCCCTGCCTCTGGTGCTGGGCCTGAGTCGGCAGGGAAGTGAAGATAGACTTGAAATGGGAGCCCCCCACTTGAGGAAGCCCCACATGAGGAAGAGCTGGAATCCACGGAGACGATCTGCAACCCACACTGCCCTCTCCGCCTTCCAGGAGGTGGCTGACCTCAGGACAGCACGATTCACCACCGAGCTCCCCAGGCTGAGCCCAGATTCGGAGAAGCTGAAGGAGGAGATGCTGGGCGGATGGGGGGCCCCTGACAGCAAGGTAAGCCAGCAGGTCTGCAACAACCCTCGTGCCGACCTTCCCAGTATAAATGTGGCTGCCACTTCGCTTCCCCTTGCAACTCTGACAACTTTCTCTTGAGACCAACTCAAATTCATTAATTCTGGAAACGTGTTCCAGCTTAGCTAAATCGACACATTACAAACCCACCACTTATGTTCTGTACTGGGGCAGTTGTTCCTACGTCCTCTTAATGTCCTTCTCCTCTCGAAGACCTCTGACTTTTATCCTCTTAAATGACATGAGAGGTTTGTGTGAAGTCAGTGGAACCACATGGATTTTGGGGACAGCCACACTTGGATTTAATCGCAACTCCACTACTAGCTGATCTGGAGAATCACTGAGCTTCAGTTTCCTACCCAAAAAATGCAGCAAAAAGAGGACTTGCCTCACAGGGTGGTTGTGGGAATCAACGCTCCCATGTCAGCTCCTTCAGCCACTCCAGGGGCTCACTGCCAGTGGAAGAGGGGATTCCACTGCAGTATGGAATCCAGGCAGAAGAGGCATGAAGCATGGCGGGTCAGAGAATCACAAGGCGTGTGCCCCGAGTGTGGGGGGCATGTGAATGTGGAGGGGGCGGCGGGGGAGCCTTGAGTGCCGCCCTAAGTTTACGCCATCATCAAGGCAGCTGGCCTTTAAGCAGAAAGTGACACGCAAACCTGCAAGTCTGAGCAAGGAGGCCCTAGAAGAGAGCAGCCTGGAGTGGGGAGCATGGAGTGAGGGGGCGCAAGATGGTGAGGACCCTCTAAGAACAGCTATTGCTGATTTAGTGCCTGCTCTGTGTGGGCCCTGTTCTGGATGCTTCACAAGTACTTAACTCAGTCCTCAGAACCACCCTGTGAGGCGTGTGCTCCTATTATCCTGGTTTTACAGATGTGCCAACAGAGGCACAGAGAGGGTCACTTGCCCAAGATTATACAGTGAGCACATGGCGGAGCAGGATTCAAACCCAGGGCCCACAGGCAGGACCCATAGAACTTGTGAGATATTTAGGGCTTAATATTGACTGGACTTAGTGCTGTACCATTTCTAGAAGAAAAGGACAAGGAAGAGGATGCCTCACAGGCCTGTGGCTTGGGCGACCTGAGCAGATGGTGACGTGCTCAACCAAGACAAGACTTAGGACGAGGGGCTGAATCACATGAGAGATGATGAGTTCAGCTCTGGACCAGTCAGGTGTCCAGTGCCTGAGACACCCACATGGAGAGGTCCAGGCAGAGGTTAGACAGATGAGTCTGGGTGTGGGCCAGAGGCACTGACTTGGGGATCACTGAGATTTAGGAGCAACTGACCTCTGAGCTAGGAGGAAGCGATCCATTCCTCACTGTGATTCGAGCCTCGGAACCCACCCACACTTGCATCTGTTTTCGTTGGTATTTTTAACTTACTGTAACAGTCTCCTGCTTGAAGACTTTCTCCTCACCTCCCGGTGGAGGCTCAGGGGGAAACCACCGTGTCCTTCCCCTACGGCCTCCTCCTTTTGTTCAGTTAGGGCTGAGGGCTGCTCGGCTGTAGTATCCCCAGCTAGGCCTCCAGGACCCCAGCTTCAGGAACTGACCAGGGTTCTGTATGCAAGGACTCAGGGAAAGAGGCAAGGCCCTGACTGCAGATCATTGTTCCTGCTGTGGGGAGAGAAGCTTCTGCCATTTTCTGGGCACTGAGTGTGACATTCACATGGCCATGACCTGGCATCTGTATGAATGAGACTCTGTGCTGCCCTGGGTGTGGAAGGAAGGGAGGAGGGCGTGGAAGGAAGGAGCCACCCGGTGGCGTCTGGCAGCACCAGGCTGCCCTTCACTTTGACTCGGGACCTTTTCCAAGCAGAGCAGCTTTTTTCGGCTGTCAGTTTGCTGTGCCATCTGCATCCAGGCGTAGCACGTGGCCTGAGCAGCCAGGAAACTGGCACCTAGAGAAAAGAGCCAGGGCAAGGAGGGGACACAGGATGTCTCACATGGCACTGTCATAGGAAAGGCTCAGAATCTGGCCCTGGCCCCACGGCATGGAGCCGGGCTCTGGGCCAAGTTGCCTGTGGAAAGGCGATGATGAGCTCGTGCGCCACGAGGTGGACGCAATGTCCCTGTAGTCCCAGCTCCTCCCCAGGCTAGATGCTGCCCCCTCTCAGAGTCCTCTCTTGGGAGCCCCACCAGCCCCAGGAGGTGAGTCTGTGAGAGTCAATTCGCCATAGAATGGCAGTGTCCCAGGATGCCCCGAGGCCGCCGGCTGAGGAGTTCATGCACATGCAGTGTGCCTGCCCCACCAGATGAAACCCTCTCCACTATTGGCCCTTATCTCCCTCCAAGGACAGGAGACTCTGTCACCACTGCCCAGTGAGCTACACCCTGCCCCAGGCTGGGGAGCTGCAGCAACGTTGGGTCTGACCCCATCCAGGGGCTGCTTGTGAGGGTCCAAAAGGCTGCAGACCACCAGGCAAACCCGTGCCCCCAACGAGCC